TGGTATATATGTTATTACAGATACAATGTTTCGATCATGTGTCTTCATCAGGTGTCTATTTCTAATATTTCTGAGAGGAGTAATTGTCAGTATTCATCTCTCATTTGGAACCATTGTTCTCATCTTTGTTAATATAGATTCTAAGCAAACCTTTCGACCAAGTACCCTCTGTTTATCATCAGGTGTCCATTGATTAACTGACTGATATGGCATAGCTGTTGATTTTTGTGATATTTTATCCCTGTGATGTCAATTATTTGTTCCACTAATGTCCTTCGGAACAGTGGCGTAGTGGTTATAGGAGTTGGTTATACATGTGTTATTGTCATCTAGTGGTCATGAGTTCAATTCTTGAAGCAACAGTATAGCAAAAACAAACAAGTAACTGACATATCAGCGATAAAATATCACAATAGTCAACAAATATTCCGTATCAATGATGTTGTATTTGGTCGAAACAGTGTTGCTATAGTAACATCAGTATCATCCAAGATGAGACTAATACGCGAATAAATAAATGCCTATCCCAGAAATAAAATGCTAAATTATAAGAAACAAAGTTATACGTGTACCAGGCTGGCATCTCTGTCCCACCCTTTTACTGTCAAAACGGTTAAGTGTAACCGTCTCTTCTACTCAAACATTCTTCTTCTCTCGCACTTCCCGTCTGTGGAACTCCCTTCCCCTTACTTACTTCCCCGATGACTATAACCTTCAAATATTATAGTGTAATATCAATCGACATCTCTGACACCCTAAGCTTCTTGCCCGTCCTTCTCTGTATCCTTTCCTCAAACACGCCTATTCTCAATCATCTGTAACCCCTTGCGTACTAGTGACACTCTCGCCTTGATTGGTGTGACTTCTATATATATATATATATATATATATATATATAAGTTATGAAGAACTTGGTAAACCGAATTGGTAAATCCAAGGAGGATGAAATCCTAAGAGCTCAATGTGAAGAACAGAGCTAATATTTAATGAAAAACAATAATGGTACATTAAAGTGTCTGTTTTTCATTAAGTATATATATATATATATATATATATATATATATATATATATATGCAGGGTGTTCATAATGTTCGTGTGCACTTTAAAAAAATTATAACTTTATTTTTATTTGCGATAGAAATAATCTGTAAATAAATCTCATAAAGTTCAATGTACCTAGTTTTAAGTATAGCTAAAATAACTAATGTGATTTCAGACATTACTGTAAATCAGTTGGCAAATGTTTTCCGTGAACTGCAAAATCGTATTACCCTTTGTATTGCTAATGATGGAGGCCATGTGGAAACTTAAATAAAATTTCAATAAAACTTTAAAAAATATATATTTACTTCTTTCTAATCCTTTTTACAAATTATTTCTATCGCAAATACAAATAAAGTTATAATTTTTTAAAGTGCACACGAACTTTATGGACACCCTGTATATATATATATATATATATATATATATATATATATATATATATATATATACATATATTATATATATGCACGATCTACGAGTTGAAGATCGAACGTTCGAAGAAAGACCTGAAACCAAGTATCCTTGATCGTTAATTTGAAGGATTCATGAATGCGTAATTATTTTTTTAATTTTAGTTCCGTAATCTTTTCAGATCTTACGAAGATAATATTACACAAGGATATAGTATTAGGGCACCCAGTGCGGATCTAAATCACCGCACTCGTAAATTGGACTCGCAGCCGTGCTTGATAACCATTGCAGGCGCCCATTTTGAACAGTTGTGATTAACAGATGAGATAACGCCCCAAATCCGTGTGTATACAAAACTTGCAACGTTGGAATAAGATCTGATAATTTTGACCTTCCCTGCCACCACCTGTCAGATAAATGCTTCGTTAAGTCTATAGATTCGAAATTCTTCTGCTGTCAGGTATCAATACTTGATGCAAATTCACCGCGCTCCACCCATTCGTCGGTGCAGGATCGTGGTTATATCCCTGGAGCACGGACGTCTATTTGGGAGCGGGTGGAAGAAAGAAGTCAAAATAAGCGGACGGTGTTTAATCACCGTTCCCTCCAAGCGACGGAACGTATCCAAAGCAGCGTATAATTGTTAATACGGACTCTTGGGACGTTTATCATGGGCAAAACAATGACCTAAATGAGCTAAGCTTGGCCGATCGACATTTCATAAAAGCTAGGGTGAAGTTGGGGTCTGACATCGCGATAGGTTTTCAGCCATTTTAAGATGGCGTCAGTGATCGTCTGCTTCTGTCGGTGCGGTTCCCCGAAAAGCTGACTGAAGTCGTGCGTGCAACGCTATTATAAGTGCACGGCGAATTGATGTCATGACGTTCACGGCTTGTTGAATTGTAATAAGTAAGTATTTAGTTTCTTGCGTATGCGGCTCTGTTTACTCTTTCTATTCACTTCCACAGCTAACGCCTCCTCTCCCTAAAAGTCTCCATTCATCTCCGATGTTGTGGCAAATCGAACTATTTACCGAAAACATTGCGGTGCGTAACAAGACAGGCGGTGATTTGGTGCAAAGAGGTAAATAAATATATCCTTATTTAGGAAGACAACCAGGAAGAGAAACTCTCAAATAAATAGAAGAGGTGAAACATATTTCACTATTTATTTCTTGAAAAGCTTTTCTCACTTTTATTTCATTTATGTTTGTTTTTGTTTTTTTCTCTCTGTGTCTTTCTGTAAGACGGCTTTTCTGAGAAATCTGAATTTTAGCTGACGCAAAATTAATTCTCCACTTTATTTTATTCCTTGTTTTTTGTTTTTTTTGTCGAGATTTCATTTGTTTTTTCTTTTTATTGCGAATGACGTTTCCATTTCGTTGTTTTTTGTCTTTCTATCTTTCTATCTTTTACGATCCTTCCTTCCTTTCTTTCTTTCTTTCTTTCTTTCTTTCTTTCTTTCTTTCTTTCTTTCTTTCTCGAACCTTGTTTTCTTTTATCAAGAATTATTTCTTTTATTTCTTTTTAGAGCCTTCTTTTCTCCCTTTTTTTTCGGTGAGAATGATTTTTCTTTCTTTCTTTTTTTCTTTTTCTTTCTTTCTTTATCGGGCCTTCTTTTCTATTTTTCCTCCTCATTAAGAATAATGCCTTTCTTTTTTTCTTTCTTTTTTCTTTCTTTCTTTCAATCGATTCTTGTTTTTTCTTTTTTCATTAAAAATTCATGCTTTCTATCTTTTTTCTTTTTTATTCCATTGAGGATGCGTTTTCTTTTTTTTTTTCTTTCTTTCTATGTCGCTTTCTTAATTGTGGGTTCGTCTTTTTACATCTCATTTTATTTCATCATACTCTTTCTAATTTATTTCCTTTCTAACTTTCTTTCTTTCTTAATCGAGACTTGTTTTTTCTTTTTTTGTTAAAAATTCATGCTTTCTTTCTTTTTTCTTTCACTGAGGATGCTTTTTCTTTTTTCTTTCTTTCTTTCTTTCTTTCTTTCTTTTTATGTCGCTTTCTTTATTGTGGCTTTGTCTTTTTACATCTCATTTTATTTCATCATTCTCATTCTAATTTATTTTCTTTCTTTCTTTCTTTCTTTCTTTCTTTCTTTCTTTCTTTCTTTCTTAGAAGTACTCTCATTCCAGCTACAAGATTTTGGTGGCAGATAAAAGAAAAGTTGAAATTAATTTCCAGCTTGTTGCGCTTGCTTTTGCCCAAATTTCCTTAGGAACGCTATCAAATCCGTTTTCTTCCCTGCCCAGGTACAGTTTAAAGAACAGAGTAAACTAAGATCTCTAGCCTTGTAAGTCAATTAGTTTAGAACAATTATCAAATTAAAAACAGGGGAATTTAATCCACAATTTTTCAAAAAAGTAATGTCATTTGTCAGATTTTGAAAAAAAGTAATCTGTGGAGAGACGTAACTGTCTATATCTTCAGGATAAATGACATTTAAAAACAGAGCAGTAAACGAGGAATAATAGTCGACTATGCTTCATCTAAGAAATTTGAATCCTATTAATACTACTAGTAATAAAGCATATTTAAGTAAGCAGGGCAGATGAGAAATAAAGAATAAGCCTTGAATAAAAAGCAAGAGAAATAAGATGAAAGAAATACTAGTCCAAAATGAATAATAATTGACATTGCTTCATGTAAGAATTTTGAATCATATTAATATATATATATATATATATATATATATATATATATATATATATATATATATATATATATAGCTGCCCACTCATATTCGAGGATACTTGTCTATTAGGACGGCGAGCTAATCCCTTTTACAGAAGCTTGCTCAGTCGCATTTTTGTTTATTCAACACCCACAGAGCCCACCTCTGGTTAGTTACAGTTTCTGCGAAAGAGCGTTTTTTCTAGCATGATCAACAATCTGAACAAGGCCTCGGCCACGATGACATCGTGCTAGCACAGTTATCGACGGCACCCAAGGGATACGTCTACCCAATTTTTCTCAAAAGGCTTCGATCAACCCGTGGTATGATTTTAAGGCAGTTTCCAAAGTTGCTGCACACAGGGATTGAACCCTCCAGTTTGATAACATCAGGAAGTCTCCTTCATGACAAATCGACCATGGTGAGATTCGAATCCGGCACTCATGGTCAGACTCCTATAAATACTAGTACTAATAAAGCATATTTAAGTAAGCATGGAAGATAGAAAATAAATAAATGATCATTAGATACATTTATAATGAAAGAATGCCTCTTAATAGTAACTATTGTACTCAGAAAAAATCTCATGCTTTATTCTCTTTTCCTATTCAGCACATTTCGAAGAGTTATTGAAATGGAAATATATAAACTTAGTCGTTAATTCTAATACTATATCTCAGATAGTTCATTGATTTTAATTCTATATCTCCGATAGTTCATTGATTTTAATACTATATCTCTGATAGTTCATTGATTTTAATACTATATCTCCGATAGTTCATTGATTTTAATACTATATCTCCGATAGTTCATTAATTTTAATACTATATCGCTGATAGTTCATTAATTTTAATACTATATCTCCGATAGTTCATTGATTTTAATACTATATCTCCGATAGTTCATTAATTTTAATACTATATCGCTGATAGTTCATTAATTTTAATACTATATCTCCGATAGTTCATTGATTTTAATACTATATCTCCGATAGTTCATTAATTTTAATACTATATCGCTGATAGTTCATTAATTTTAATACTATATCTCCGATAGTTCATTGATTTTAATACTATATCTCCGATAGTTCATTAATTTTAATACTATATCGCTGATAGTTCATTAATTTTAATACTATATCTCCGATAGTTCATTGATTTTAATACTATATCTCCGATAGTTCATTAATTTTAATACTATATCGCTGATAGTTCATTAATTTTAATACTATATCTCCGATAGTTCATTGATTTTAATACTATATCTCCGATAGTTCATTAATTTTAATACTATATCGCTGATAGTTCATTAATTTTAATACTATATCTCCGATAGTTCATTGATTTTAATACTATATCTCCGATAGTTCATTAATTTTAATACTATATCGCTAATAGTTCATTAATTTTAATACTATATCTCCGATAGTTCATTGATTTTAATACTCTATCTCCGATAGTTCATTAATTTTAATGCTATATCGCTGATAGTTCATTAATTTTAATACTATATCTCCGATAGTTCATTGATTTTAATACTATATCGCTGATAGTTCATTAATTTTAATACTATATCTCCGATAGTTCATTGATTTTAATACTATATCGCTGATAGTTCATTAATTTTAATACTATATCTCCGATAGTTCATTGATTTTAATACTATATCTCCGATAGTTCATTGATTTTAATACTATATCTCCGATAGTTCATTGATTTTAATACTATATCTCCGATAGTTCATTAATTTTAATACTATATCGCTGATAGTTCATTAATTTTAATACTATATCTCCGATAGTTCATTGATTTTAATATTATATCGCTGATAGTTCATTAATTTTAATACTATATCTCCGATAGTTCATTGATTTTAATACTATATCGCTGATAGTTCATTAATTTTAATACTATATCTCCGATAGTTCATTGATTTTAATACTATATCTCCGATAGTTCATTAATTTTAATACTATATCGCTGATAGTTCATTAATTTTAATACTATATCTCCGATAGTTCATTGATTTTAATACTATATCTCCGATAGTTCATTAATTTTAATACTATATCGCTGATAGTTCATTAATTTTAATACTATATCTCCGATAGTTCATTAATTTTAATACTATATCGCTGATAGTTCATTAATTTTAATACTATATCTCCGATAGTTCATTGATTTTAATACTATATCTCCGATAGTTCATTAATTTTAATACTATATCTCCGATAGTTCATTGATTTTAATACTATATCGCTGATAGTTCATTAATTTTAATACTATATCTCCGATAGTTCATTGATTTTAATACTATATCTACGATAGTTCATTAATTTTAATACTATATCTCCGATAGTTCATTGATTTTAATACTATATCTCCGATAGTTCATTAATTTTAATACTATATCTCTGATAGTTCATTAATTTTAATACTCTATCTCCGATAGTTCATTGATTTTAATACTATATCTCCGATAGTTCATTAATTTTAATACTATATCGCTGATAGTTCATTAATTTTAATACTATATCTCCGATAGTTCATTAATTTTAATACTATATCGCTGATAGTTCATTAATTTTAATACTATATCTCCGATAGTTCATTGATTTTAATACTATATCTCCGATAGTTCATTGATTTTAATACTATATCTCCGATAGTTCATTAATTTTAATACTATATCTCCGATAGTTCATTGATTTTAATACTATATCTCCGATAGTTCATTGATTTTAATACTATATCTCCGATAGTTCATTAATTTTAATACTATATCTCCGATAGTTCATTGATTTTAATACTATATCTCCGATAGTTCATTGATTTTAATACTATATATCCGATAGTTCATTAATTTTAATACTATATCGCTGATAGTTCATTAATTTTAATACTATATCTCCTATAGTTCAGTGATTTTAATACTATATCGCTGATAGTTCATTAATTTTAATACTATATCTCCGATAGTTCATTGATTTTAATACTATATCGCTGATAGTTCATTAATTTTAATACTACATCTCCGATAGTTCATTGATTTTAATACTATATCTCCGATAGTTCATTGATTTTAATACTATATTTCTGAGAGTTCTTTGGTTTTTGACAGAAAAATCTACTATTCGCAGTTTTTTGATGATGATGTAATTTAATTTTGAAATATTACTCTTATCCCAAGATAATTTGAATCATTATTTCTGAATCTATGTTATGTAACTAGATCTGTGGACGCTCTTGTCATTACCTCCTCTCTATCTCTCTCTATATATAGCAGTAAAAGCTCTGTCTTTCCGTGATCTACTCAGGGTCGATTCTCCCCCTCCAGATGTGGCGTTAAGGCCGGTAATGCTATAAGGAAACATTCGGCATTCATTGACATTGACTTTCATAAAAATATTCTTATCAAAACAATTTTTCCGGAAAATAGGTTTCTCAAATTTGTAATTGATTTTTTCCAGTACTGATTGAGGTTTCCTTTCTAACCTTTTATCTGAAGTAGTGTGGAAGGTCACCATCTTGATTATGCAATTATTTTTTTTCATGTTACATATGCTTTGTTGTGTAATATATATCGCCGAGTTCGAATTTTAGTCGAGTTCGTTAGATTAACTTACGTACAAATACACCTGGGAAAGGCATGAATCCATCTTTTCTTTCTCCATCTATGGATTGAATACAGGACTGACTGCAGAAAGAAATGCTAATCTACTGCGGGAAAAAAATATCTGCCTCGTCAGTCAAGTATTGAATGATACATGATCGTCCAAACGTGTATCACGTATGACACTTAAATAATTGACTGTTGAATGCCATCAAGTGATTTTTTTTTTCATTTTCGTTTGTTATCTGGTACAGTTCTTAGTTTATGATTCTGTAGCAAGAAGGTTCGAAACCGGTTGGTCTTCACTACGTCATAGATATTTTCATACGTTGGGTGCCATTTTTAAGCACTAATCTGACGAAGCGTTTATATACAGCTGGCAGTTTAGAGTTCGGCGTCATATATGACATCCATATATAAGTTTTGATCTAACGAGGTGATGTAATGGAATAACCTGTCGCCCACATGAGTGACTAAACTATAAGTTGTTGCAGTTTTTTGGATATATGTTTACTAGTGAGCCAGTCAAAATGAGCTGACCCATTTTATAGTCCACCAAGAGAAGGGTTAACCAATCAGAAAGCTCACAATATTCAATGCGACGTGTATAAAGGTAGCCATTTTTTCTCCCAAATTGTCTGCACTGCCAACCTGATATCGAAGACTTAAAGAATTACTTAACAACCGTTACTTTCTCTGAATCTTCACTGCCGACCTCTGATATCGAACAGATTACGGACTTCACTGGATTCCATATTCAGAGACTGCGGCAAACATGTTCAACATATGTAGCAACTATTTACAAGTATCTGTAAGTCAACGAACTACAGACTCTAGCTGGGATCTGTTCCAGCTAAACAGGGAGGAACCCGGACGAGGCTCCGCCGAAGGGCAGAGTCTCGTTCGGGGAGATAGACTGCCCCTGAATCCGTTTATACGGGTTCGAAAGGGAATATTTTTGGCCGAGCCTACGGGCTCGGAGAACCCAAATTAAACTGGCCTTGTGCCACATCCAACCCTCGTGGCGATGGTGTGGCTAAATACACTACCTGGAATCTGTTACTCAGTTCTTAGCTGTAGTTGAACTCTCTGCCTTCGGGCAGTGAGGAACCCGGACGATTCTATGCTGAAGGGCAGAGTTTCGTTCGGGGCGGTAGACCAACTCGAACCCATTCTACGGGTTCTACGGGGATTTTTTGGCCGAGCCTACAAGCTCGGATGACCCACGTTAAACTTGGCCTTGTGCCACATCTACCCTCGTGGCGGGGATAGTAATTTAGCTCACTGGGGCAGACTTTTCTTGAGGACACATGGCACATTGGATGAAGACGTTGGTTATATCCTGTGTCAGGACCCAAAGAGTGGGAGTTCAATACCTGGTGGAGAAATTGGAGAGGGGAATTAACAGGAGATAACTGATAACTGACATCCATTATACATGGCACGTGGAACTAGAAGAGCCTACCCCATCGAGCGAAATAAAGGGTTCAGTTCGACATTCCAACCACCTGAAGAAGGCCGGATCGTACAACGACCGAAACGTTGTAATAAATATGGCGACAAAGATGACAGTCGTCCGAATAATGTAAATAGTGTACATAATACCTCATCTCAGAAATATAGAGAGATAACTTCGAAGTATGTTACATTCGGACAACTTCTTACCCAAAAGGGATGATTTATGGAACACACTCCCAACTTGCTGTTTTCCCAAGCACTATAATCTTGACCTCTTCAAGACTACGGTTAACCGTTGTCTATCTTGCATATAACCATATAACCAGTCCTGCTTTTCTTACGCATCTATAGCACCCACTATCAACCCTATACCTTGAGTTAGTACAGGGTGGGGCAGAGTAACTTGCTTATTTGGAATATCAATTAAAACACAAGTAATGCAGGTATACATGTAATTCTTTGAACTGCAACTAGTTCAACATTTAAATTCTATTTTTTACCAGTTTTAAAGATGATATCAGTAAGATGGCGTCCATTCTTCTCTATACACTGAGTCAATGTTTTGGGGTGATCTTGCTGTTCGTGGGAGGCCAGGTTTCTTTTTCTTTACATCACCCGTTTCCCTGAAGATGTTTACCCATGAAAAAATCGACTGCCGGCCAGGAACACGACCCCGGGGGAGGGGGGGGCAATACTGAAATGTCTACGGAATGCACGTTGCGTTGCGACGATTGGTTGACCGATTGAAAAAAATGCCTCAACAGCGAAAGCTCGTTCCAACTTTGTCCACTCCATGATGCTCACTGGGGTTCCTGAAAAATAAACAAAAAATAAATAACGCACGTTAAGAACCAAACTTTAAGCCCCACCCTCTCAAATAAGTCCATTCCTACCATCCTTGGGGCAACCATCGCTTTAGGGCGCCAAATTTAATTAAGCAAGTTGCTCTGCCCCACCCTGTATTAAAAAAAAAACAGTCGTATGTATTCTGTATTATTCGTTTACGATTATGATGATGCTAGATTACCAGTTATATTTATTTGGCTTATTCCCCTTCTGTTTAAAAGGTTGGAGTATTAATCTGGTGGTTTGGTTTTCCCGCGTCTCTTCTCTGCCGGCCTCAGTGGAACTGACAAAACATCGTAAACTTGTATATATGGAATACAGCGTGCCGACTTGTCACCAATGATTTATTGGTAAGATTTTACCATTAATTTACTTTTCTCTAAGGGTCTCCTTTGTTCCGGACAGTACAGGATCAGCTAACTACTTACCCGAGCGTATATTTCTTTATCTAAACAAATCACTCGACCCGTTTGTCAGCTTGGCCGAATATTTTTTTTAATTTCGGTAAGCTCTCTAAAAAGATTCGAACGAAAAAACAGACAAACAAAAATATGTAAACAACCAAGCCTGTAGAGTTTAAAAGATGACTTCAGTCGAGAAAATAGTTTATCACATAATACAAGGTCCAAGAGACTATCAAGGTAGAGGGTGACTAAATTAAGTATTTGACATCAACGTAAGAAGAGGAAGTAAGAAGTATATACGAGTAATCCTTGTTACGATTCTATATATTGGGGAAGCATCAATGTTGAAGGACCAGTTGTAAGGAAGAAGGTTGGGGTTATATAGGGAAGATAACAGTTAAGCCTAAACTTGAACAGGTTAAGATTGTAATGATCGAGAAAGGAGTCAGTTTCTCAAACCAGCTGTTTAGTTCCTTAAAAATGAGAAGCAGTTGCAGCGCAGGACATATGCCCCTAATACAAAACCACTTAAACGATTTCTTACTTTTGTCAAAGATGAACAGTGAGGATTGTGTAGCTACATCTCCGATATGATAAATCTCCATTCTTAGTCTGATCTAACTCTTTTCAAATGTAAAGCATTGTAGGAAGGTCCAAATACTTTGCGCATAGTTACACGGAGCCAATACATTTTCCTGTCTATTTAACGATGGGTTGCATATATGACTTCCACTTGAGGTCTGAGATGAACTTCAGACACCACAGATGCTCAATGTAACAAACCTCTTTGTGAGTGCAAATGTTAATTATGACTATTTACACTGTTTACACTATTTACATTGTTCGGAGGTTTGTCCTCATCTTTATTGCCATATTCAGGACGTTTCTGGCCAGAGCGTACAAAGGACGAGACATCGAGATTATGGCAAGAAAGATGGCGACTGCAAGTTCGAACGATGTAAATAATGTTAATAATTACAATACCACATCTCAGAAATACAGACAGAAATTATTGACCAACTTCATCATTGTGATATTTTTGCATTATATCAATTATTAGGAATATGATAATTATGGTTCGCAAATTGAAGGAGAGAGTTATCAATGATAATGTTCTGAATCTGAATACGCGGTTATCTACCCTTTAAAACCTGTGTTTTTTTTATTACTTTTAAATGTAATTTTTATTGCATAAACTTGTGTGAGGCCCGAGCGAAATTTCATTGCGAAAATGCGGCCCAGAGAAAAAGTGTTTCGGTACAGCTGCAACATGAGAAACAAACAGGTATGCACATGTTTGACTATTAGGGTAGAGTCCTAACGCTTTTATCTGGTTCAGATACTTTCCGCAGACTTACACGGGACCATTACATTTCTTTGTGTACTTAACGATGGATTGTATATATGACTTTCAATTGAGGTCAGAGGTGAACTCCCGACACCACAGATGCTCAATAAAACAACCCTCTTTGTGAGTGCAAATATTAATTATGACTGTTTACACTGTTTACACTATTTACACTGTTCGAATGTTTGTCGTCATCTTTATTGCCATATTCATGACGTTTCGGCCCTCGTATGTTCCGGCCTTCTTCCTTTGGAACCAAACTCTTTATTTAGTCTACTGGAGCAGATTGATCTCGTTCCACGCGCCATCTCACTCTCAGTTGATTCCCTTTAGTAAGTTTTTGTTCACCTCTGCTGTGGCCAGGTATTGAACTCAGAAAACTTTGGGTCATGTCACTGGATTACTTCAAACAACGCTTTTATCCGGGCCGTGTTTCCTTGGTCCCCACATATCCCAGTGGATAAAAGCATTGGTTGAATCATTCCAGTGACAGAGAGTTAATTCATGACCACAGCAAAGGTGAAATAAAACAAACTTGGAGAATTGAATTATTAAAAGGAATTAAAGGAAAATTACACGTGGAACTAGAACAATCTACCCGCGTCGACTAAATAAAGGGTTCGGTTTCTAAATTCTAACGCATATTACCTGAAGAAGGCCGGAACGTACAATGGTCGAAACGTCGTGCATATGACAA